CTACAACTATTTGAGTTGAAATGAAGAGCTGCCAGGCAAAGTATGGAAAATGGTAGTACAGTCTGTGTTAAACAAATAGATAGTCCAGTCTGTGCAGAATTGTAAACGAACAGTATTCAATAAGGTACCATATCTTGTGAATGTATTCATTATGGTACTGTATTTATCAGGTAATAAGCCCACGCCTAGTAATAAGCCCATCCATGTTTTTTTCTTAGATTTCAAATTCACTGTCCTATACAATCTATATCCCTGCAATAAGCCCCCCCCCCCCACATCTGTTTAGACACTGGCCCCTAGGCTTATTGCAGGATAAATACGGTATCATATCAGGACCATAGTGATGTATTTCTGATGTTTCATTTTTATCAGCACTGCATCAGATTTTTATGAGTATATCTCACCTTGCTTTCATCTGATTGTAAAAGAAATGGCTGGCCTTTGGTGCAAAAAAGTTCACCACATTGTGGAAGGATTCCAAGCATGATGTCTGATGTGCTGGGGACAACTTTCCAACATCTTTCAACAGGAGTTTCCCACATAAAATCTTTTCCATTTCCCGGAATACTTTGCTTCCTGAAACGAAAGGGCAGAAGTAAAAATACTTAATGAGTAATATGTATAATTAGAAAAGAAGCATGTTATTTGAAAAGTATTACAAATTCTTCATATGATAATGGCAAATATCTTATTAACACTGGACTCCTACCATAAAAATCTTATTTTTTATAATCTCAATTAGTATCTTATAATTACCTGGCTTGATCCACTTTCTTGAGATGTCCCCATGCTCACATGAATGGAAAAGATCTCCATGCCCCTCGTGAATATTAGTGACATGGTTCAGGATACTTGTCCATTTTTGTCGTACAAGTTCTGCATTCCCTCCACTGCTAGCAGCACACCAATAAGCATGGTTGCTTATGGATCTGGCCCATTCTCCAGCCATTTTGTACTTCTTGGACTTTCCAAGAGCTTCTAGTTTCTTGTAGACACCTTTGTAAAATAAGAAATTCATTAGCAATTTAATAGTTATTAATTTTTATATATATTCTAGAGTCATGGATAGTAACTGACTAAAATGTACGGAGCGGGGTGATGGGGGGAGGGGGGGGGTTATTACCCAGCATGGGCATATTGCTTATTCAGGTGAAATGAAAAAAAAACACCTATATATAGCTAGCAATTAATGCATGGAAACATACCCAAGTAAGTGCTTACCCTTTGCAACATGCCAAACATCAAACCAATGGTTTATGTCTGGATGGTCACTTTTCATCAGCTTTTTGACTTGGCAGTGTCTGTCAGTCACCAAATCAGATATTGGTATGTCCTTATCTTTTAAGAATTGGAAGCAGCGCTTCAGTCCTTCCAGTTCCATTGCATATGAATTTTTCACTTCATTTGACTGTAATGTAATTAACATGGGTATTAATGAACTAAAAAATGATTAAAAACAGTTTTCTCCCTTTCCATAATATTGATTAATAAATGCATACATATAAAAAGTCTACATTTAATTACCTGGACAAGCTGAATATCCACCACTTTGGCAGTTTCTACATCCATGAGTGTGTAGGATCCGTATTTTGCAGTGTGTCCTGGGGAACTGCATCTGGCATCACCACCTAGTTTCAAGGAACTGCCACTGTTTTTGATGTCATTTAAATATACTGATTGCTGATGTTGCCAGCATGATAATGTGGATGGTACAATGTAGGTCCTCTGCAGTTTGTTGTATGCAGTTAGGCTAAGACCTAAAATTCCTGAATGGCTCATAAAGTTAAATGTTTTCACAGGACTGTTCCCACTAAAAAATATCCCACAGGCGATCACCAAATTTCCCCAGGGCAGTGAATTTTCTGATAAATTTACAGACACATCTACTTGTTACACAAACACAAGTACCAACTGTTGTTTTGATGTGTTGCAAGTTTCTCCTGCTGCAGACAGCACATATGTCTAGCAGTTCAAAGAGACATTGTTCAAACCCAACATACTAGTGCGCTTTGTCTGGATCTGTGTCCTCACTGTCCAATTCATGTGTTGTCGTGACATTGTCTTCCAAATCTGAATACTCCTCCTGATCTTCTAATGGACTCCATTCTGAATCATTGTCCTGATCTGGTAGAGAAATATCCATGTCACTCTCATCATCAGAATAATTTTCCCTATCTTTCTGGGTGGTGTTGTATCTGTGGCATTGAATGGATGTAGACACAGTCTGGCATGTGGCCTGTACCCCACAAGATGTAACTGAAGTCTTCATTTCTGATATTTTTGTCTGTAGACTAACGTGACGACGTTTCTGGAGAAAAAAAGAAATGTTAATCAATTGCTGTGAACTCTAAAATAATCTATATTGCCTGAACATTCCAATCTATTGATTCACATCTATTATTTGAATAGCCATGTAATTCATATGAAACTAATTTTATATGTTAATGATGTTATTAACACTTCTATTTCAGTAGTCTTTGATGGGCAATACATATTGAACCTACTTACACTATGAGATGGTCATATAATTTGAAAACATATAATGACCAAGAATTATAATATAGATGTAATTTTCTGTATTTTATCATAAATTTTATTGCATCACAATCCATTTTCAAGAGGAGATCTAGAAATACATGTCCGGTATATGTAAGTGCATGGCCTTCATAAATATGCTGGGTGAAATTATATATACCGGATAGGGGGTAGAGGCTGGTATATGTGTACCAAAAATGCATTCAGAGAATACCATAATAGTATATATTACATGTACATACTGTTAGGTTGTATGACGTCTGACAGCCAACATTGTATGTCTCTAGTGGATCATCCGGTCCTACACATTTATCTACAGTACTTCTGTGATCAGAAGTCTGTGTCTCCATGTGCACCTGATTTGGATGGTACTTGATTTGTTCAGACGTGTAATTTGTACTAATCTGCTGTTCATTTGTTACGTCTGCCAAAATCTACAAACAAAAAAAAAAAAAGAAAAAGGATAAACAACTAAACAAACAAGTGGAATACATTGTATGTGCCAGTAATATCAGAAAGGGTGGGAAGGGGGGGGGGGGGGGGGGGGGGGGGGGGGGGGGCTTGTACAGTTCACTGTGGTTGGGCGTAAATTAGCTTATATTATAATTACATTGTATGTTGCTTGCAAGTACAGTACCTTATTTTTTAAAAATATTACGTAATACTACCATTGTTAACACAACTGATGCATTTATTTACCTCGACACGTCGTCTTTTCTGGACTGCTGTGCTAGGCCTAGACCGACTTCTGCTCGGAGTTGTGCCGACTGGATAGTGTTGGTCATTCCGGGCATTGGCAGGACTGGTACCGCTGTCTTCGGTCTGGATGGGAGTGGTAGGCCTTGATTTCGGCGAATAATAAAAAATTGTGGGAATTGACCCTGGTTTTAACGATTTTCGACCCGGTGTGAAACCAAGTGATTCCAAAAGACGTCGATCGTGGGTGAAGCAGTCGTCCGCAAAATGGCTCTCACACAATCTGGTGTGGTCGCTTGGAGAAAAATTGTCTCTCTTGAGCTTAATTTTCCACGCATTCCGAAGCTTTTTATCTCGGGGAAAAGCGAATAAACTTACTTTCTGTCCACGATTGGTACTGTTGTTACAATTGAGGGCTGCACATTGTACCATGTTGACATCTGGCGTTTGTTTACAATTTTCCTGCTTGACAGATAGCGCGGATTTTTTTTTTTTTTTTTTGCAACGAGAGCGTTTGTCACATATGACGTCAGGGATAAGGGCGATAACTCAGTCAAGGCCTTTGTGTTTCGCAAGATCGACCGAAGAACAGCATTTTTTAAAACTCAATTTACTTACCAAACTCGCTAAATTTGTGTAAAATAGCACGTTTTGGTTTTTTATGATACTTTTATAACACTCTGGCAGCATCGGCAGTTATTTGATTGGTTTTGGCTTTCTGTCACCTTTAAAAGAACGTTCTCTATCACTTTTGAAAACACTGCCAAATTTCTGAATATCCTGAAATAGAAAGTAATTTTGAGCTTCCTAGCTTTATTTCACCGATCAACGTTGTGTACAATAAATATTAGGCAGAGGAAGCATCGATTTCTCAGATATATGTTCGTTTTCAATACCTGTTCAAATAAATATCATTTTCAAGATTAATCCGACTTTAAACATAAGGTATGAAAATGAACTGTTACTTTCGAACCTCGAGTGAGGGCGAGAAAGTGAGACAATGTCACAAAAACATTCGTTGTTTTACACGTTTCTGTACATTCGAACATGCTGAATGTAAATTACACTGTTAATTAACAAAAAATCCAAGTGAGGAAGGTTTGTCGTCCGTTTTTAATACTTGTTGCTACCTGTGATTGTTCTCAAAGTTCAGACGAGGCTTTTCGCGGGTCTCTAGTTGTGCCCTGTTTTCACCTGATCTGAAAATATAGAACGGCTAATTTGTTGACATCATCCTTCTAAGAGAATGCATGAATTCCCATTTGTCCTAATGTGTAGGCAGTAACTAGGGGAAAATGTCATATCAAAACATATGTGTGGTTTACTGGTAAATAAAGAAGTCTACATACCCTGGAATCTGATACTTTCACAAATCAATTCTCATGTAAAGAAGCAGAACATTGATAATGATAATACCGGCTTGACTTTGTATTTCATTTCATCATTTTCTTATTTTGATCACGATTTGAGTGTCTGAATTACATTGCTCTATTTTAGTCAATTAATTTCTCTAGATAAAAATACATGTTACAATATAAGTGTAGTTTGCTTCATAGTCCATAAAAGAAGATTGTATATATTTTACTGTGATGTTAAACAAATGCGACCAATTCATGGTTGCCCCTATAGAAGTGATAACATATGCACTGAAGTATAAGAAAAGACCACGTTCTCTCTAATGTGCGTTTTAGGATGTTGGGATAATTTTGTGTCATATGCCGTAATATTTACTAATATTTACTACTTACTTAGGTTATACTTATGACAAAATGCCGCCTGAAGTGGTTGACTTACTTGAAGAAAAGATACCTAACGCTGACAAAGCATTGGAAGAATTGCTTGTACCAGTTGTTAAACTCAAAGGTAACGATGACGATTCTGTCAAGACGGAAAAATATATCATACATTCCACTCAAGACACTACCTCTTTACTCTGCAAAAGAAAAAAAGAAAAATAAAACATGACGCTAATAAAACTCTATTGCCAGCATTATTCACCTTGTAGTTTAAAGCATGCCGCTAATTCATACTACCTTTCTTAAATGTAATTGACATGGGCATTATGATACATCGAATTACATTTCTCTTTAAGGGTCGATCACCACAATTCTTGATCTAGGAAGTGGTGCCGGGAACCTGTCTAGAGCGTTAAGCAGGCGTTTTCCAGACGCAACAATATACGCTATCGACTATAATGAAAGTGCAATAGCCAAAGCAGATACAATTTCAAAAGCTCAAGGCATCAAAAACGTGCAGTTCCTGAAGTTAAATGCTACGGCTTTGCCTACCGACTGGACAAACAAGTTTGACTGGGTGATCATGTATGATATTCTTCACGATCTAGCAGGTCATGTTAAGGCTATGGAAGAGGTTGGTCGAGTTTTGAAAGACGATGGCGTTTTATCCATAAATGACCCCGATTTACACAGCAATGTTTTGAACAACGTTGGAGACACGAATGTTGCATCAGTAGGGTACGCTATTAGCTCCGTAATTTGTCTTCCTTGCAGTTTGTCAGAAGGCGATACCCTAGGTCTTGGAATGGGCTGGGGAACCGAAAACAAAGAAGCCTTTCTCGCTAGCTCCGGTTGGCACGTGAAGGACAAACGCAAAATCGAAAGTCACCTGGCTTTGAATCACACATGCGTTAAGACGTCCAGGTAAATCAGGGACCTGCAAGGTTTTGGCCACATTAAAATTTGCATATATATTGACTCGACAACAAGAAAAACATCTTTTGGATTTCATTTTCTTTTCCTTTATAAAATAAGAACATGGTCTGAAGTTCAACGAATGCTTATTTAGTGATTGTTCGTGATATAATTCATGTTGTCAAGATGTTGTTTGTATATAGAATTACAAGGTTCTTATATCATAGCCATTTCGGTCGGTTATGTAGAACATATATATATATATAAATATTGAATCCGGAATCATTTGTGTTATATTTCCTTGTGTACCGCTTTTTAGTGTGTAATCCCAGTAGAAAAATGGTTAAGAAAGCAAAAGAATATTGAAGCTTTTTACAGCGTTTGAAATTCTATCTGACGAACATCGCATTTTAATAAAGTGTAATCATTGGCTGGATGGTGTTTCAGAGTGAACATTCTATAGTATATGAACATTCATATCTGCTCCTGCAGACCTAATTGTTAACCATATATTGAAGTAAATGACGTTAAAAAAGAATTAATTACTGTTAACAAATGTTTGTCCATTTTCACGAAACATAGTTATCACACTGTTTTAGTCCATATCATTTTGAATCGACACTTCTCGGAAAATGTAGGATTTCATTTTTAGTATTCATACTATTTTATCAATATACGACGGGTATATACTATTTTGTTACAATAAAGTTAATATATTTGTTGCAATTTACACGAAGACTTCCTTTATATGTCATATCTAACGTTATATTTCTTGTCATATGTATGTATAACTGATTAAAATACTTATCACTCACGACGTTTTCTTGTATATGCTATGTTTTAATGCATTATACTGTTTAACTTCCTATTAATTTCAAATAAATTCTCGAGTTGAGTGCGTGCTTTTGGGCGGTTGCTAAACCTATAATGCAGAACTGAAGCCGACATCAACATGAGTATACCACTGAAGGCACCAAATATAGTATTTATCACTATACCGAAAACAGCTTAACCTGTCGTATCACTTCAAACAATGAATTAATTTCAAATAGGCAGGCAGTAACAAGTGCTAGAATAGTTTAAATTCTGATATCTTATATATGTTTATCGTACCGGGGTCTTCGTCAAGAGAAGATAAGATCCTGGTTTTAGCTGGCTCGTTAAGATCGTGCAGTCACGGCAGCCAGTTCCATTATCATTACCCGACGAGCAAGACACGGCACGGATGGAGCAAAGATGATTTATAAAAGACACACTTTTCTATTTATAAATAGAAACCGACACATTACAGTTAAGAAATAGATTAGCCTGACTCCGATAGTTGCTTCTATGAGTCGTCAGGGATGTCAAATGAGTAGGTCTTGCAATCTAGTAGGGGATTTAGACAAACAATTCCCGCAGGAAATACCATGATGTAGATACGAAGGTCCACAAGCAAAATAACTCCTTTTAACAATGAACTGCATGTTGATGTTAAACTCGCGTAAAGTAACAGAAACCTTAGCTCTCTTATGCATACACTTATTTGCACATTCAAACGAATGTTTCAACACTTTCAGACACAAATTTCAGTGTTAAGAGACCAATATTTAATGTATAGTCACAAGGGCCAGCAGAAAACAGTTAAGTACTATTGAGTGGTTGTCAGAATTCATAAACACCTTAGCAAACACAGATGGCTGTTTTAAATATGTACTGATTTTTACTCAATCAACTTATAAGTATCAAAAGCTAGGTACTAACCATCACCGCTAACTAGAACGACGAAGGAGCTTTACGGTTCATTTTTTTGTTTTGTTCATAAAATATTCTATTCAACATCAAACAATAAAACAAATAGCACGTATAGGATGGGAATACAAACTGTACGAATTCCTCTCCCAACAGTTAATATCACTGCTTGGCTCCACTTTATCTGGTTCTGCGTATTGAAGTGTACAATCCGTTGCTGTTTCTTTTGTACACTCTTAAAAATATTTAAACTAGAAGCGTATGACACTGCAAGGATTACCTCCCTTCCTCCAATGATACTTTACTTACATGTCGATGCCTACTGGCGATTTTAATGTCTATTCAAAGTTTGTGATGTCATGGTGGACTGTAGACCTTTATTGAAATATACCAATTGCGAAGTCGTGCTTGGGTTAATAAGTAACGCGTGGATCAACATATTGTAAATATCTTCTAAAGATTTCACGATATTTAATCGTTTTACTTTAGAAATTCACAGAATTTAAGAAACATTCCTGACATTCCTTATATATCCCCGGATGTATACTAGTCATCCGCATTGAGTTATATATGACAATGATACAGAAATCAACAGTCGACTCTTTCACATTCAAGGAATCTTGTCCTGTCGGTACTTATTGAGAATAAGAGCATACCCATGAATCTCAATTGTCCAAAGTTTGTACGTGAAGCTTGTTGGACAACGTTGTACATTGTGTATGAAGAGGGATACTTTTTATCTGCACACTATTGATACAAAAATACATTTTCTATTGTCTTACATACATTATATAGTTCTATGTGATATAAAACAATTTAATTAAGATAAAACAACATCATGGTCGATGAGAATTGCTTTTGTTATCTTCTCCAATTACCGAAGACGTAAAATGAATAATGAAATCAAGTTATACCTATTATTATATCTATATTTAGATGACGTCGATTAGGTAGGGATAATTACTACTTTGAAGTTTTTCAAGATTTTCCGTTCAAGTATTTCTTTTGTTCATATTTTGCCTTGTTTTCAGTGAGTTTGAGTTTAAGTTAAAATTAAATGAACATATGGGACTTCTTTTATTGTTTTTGCCCGAATTTAACTAATACGGCAATATTTTATGTCTTTTTATTTATTTGAAATACGTTGGAATGAACATTCACCTCATTTAGAAAATGTCCTTTGTACTTGTCTCAATACATTCCATTCCTTTGATTTTAAAGCGTTGCCGTTTCAACAAGGTTATTCAACTATCCAGAATGCCATGTCAATAACCTGCTTCCAGTACAAGTATGACTTGATAGGAGGGAAGGTTTATTAACACTTGAAATCCTGAATTCCAAAGCTGAATTTCTTATGGGTTTCGTTCTGCAATCTCTGTAGTCTATCCTTTAAGCTGGGCAGTATTTGTTATTGTATTCGGAAGCAAGTTATCTTAGCCTGGGTGTATCCATTTCGTTTTGCCAGCTGACGTTTCTTTCGCACGCTTATGTAAAAGGCAGTCGTTGCCCGCTGATTAAATATAACTTAATGCGGTATCTGATGACAGAAACTGTTTGAAAATTAACTAAATACAGATATATACTAAGGCAAAAAGATCTGTCCAAATTAGATTATTAAATAGCGCCCAAACCTTCTGAATAGAATCCCTTTGTACATATCTACAGAGGAGAGTGTAATGAGATGACATAAATTGAACTTTAATTTCTAGTTTGTTGAAATTATTTTAGGTGAGTGTAAGCTATACGCTCAGTGGTGGATTGTACAAGTTAGGATAAATAATATGAAACTAATATAAACTTGTTACATCAATGTTTACTTTTTCACTCTTTGACATTTTCGATATTTTTTCAATTTTACAAATCACAGAAAAAGACCTACAAAACACACTCACACGAGTATATAAAAATGATGGTAGACGGAATCCATCGTTATATAGTTATTTGAGAGGCGACAAAAAGACGCGAATACCAACTGAAATAGAACCATTGGGATTTCCAGACGCTAAAATGACACCATGACCGAGACATTTATGAAACTGTGCCGCGAGATTTCCAAATGAAATTGCTTATCGGTTATGCGTCGAGTTCATGAATCAGGCCCGTTGTGTGACGTCAGAGCTAAGAATGTTTCTATTCACGACATGCCTTGATAAGTAAGCTAATCATGTAAAGGAAGCCAGTGATAAAGGTATGTAGAAAATAGCAACGTCGTTGTTAACAGTAACCTGTGTCTCGTGGGATACCCCTTCAAAACACACTATTAACTTTGCCTCGGAAAACAATGCCTTCTCCAGACTATGTGATAATATTATTACAGTTGCTCTGGTCACAACACACGCTTAAACGTCTTTGTAATGGTCGTCTCTGCAATATCGAAATAGCTTAGTTGTCTCATGACAATTCCTAGAATTATTCATGGTATATGAGTACTTTGTTTACAGAGAGAGAGATAGAGAGGGAGAGGGGGAGGGGGAGGGGGAGGGAGAGAGAGAGAGAGAGAGAGAGAGAGAAAGAGAAAAGATGTTTGAACAATATTGAAGCGCCGTTACAACTGTTCAAATCCGTCTCGGTATACAGTTATATATAAACGATTAATAAGAAAACCAATGATTTGCCATATTTATTTGCAAAATGTGAATGCAGATACTTATCTTGATATCTCGAACCGAACAGTGCATGTAAGATGATCTCTGGTTGGTCGAAACCTCTCCGCTCCCAATTTCTACTTGCGGAACATTTTTTCGCGACACCTTGTAACACAAAGCATCGATTGACGTAGGGAAGCATTGTGACTGAACCTCAATCCAGAAAAAAGTGGAAGGATACATCAGAGGTACTACCAGAGTGAAACGGAGGTCAGTAAACTAGGAGATCAGAATGGAAGAGAAAAAAAAGTGGAGAATCCGGGTATCGATCCCGGTACCTCTCACATGCCAAGCTGGCGCTCTACCACTTCCCCTACATAATAAATAATATCCGTGTCAAGTCCCTGAGCTTTGTGGTAGATGTTCGGACACGGGTACCGGTGCCTATGATTCGGCTCAAGAACGTATACGAAAAAGACATAAATTCATTTGTTCTGTTCTGAAGGTAAGGGTGCATACACATAGGCACTGATAAATAAGAACACAAAAGTGCATGTTTAATCATGAAAAGTTGATAATTTGCCTTAGTTGCAAATATTTTATATTATTGAACACTTGCAAACTGAGATGGCGTGGAATTTGTTGGAATATCTCTGACTTTTACACAGGAATGGTTAATGTCCTCACGTCCGGCTTT